ATAACTGTTAAAACAGTTAACTGTTAAAACATTTAACAGTTATAAAAAGTCATTAACTGTTAAAACAGTTAGTTAACATTTATAACAGGTTTTTAACTGTTAAAACCGTGAATGGTTACGGTTATTTACCAACAGCATTTTCTTTGACCTTAAATAAGTACACTTACAACAGTTAACATTTCATTAGCATTTAGTTAACAGTTATAACAGTTAGCTAACATATATAACAGTTAACTGTTGTAACAACAAACAGGTATAACTGTTTTTTGACAGTAATTATAACAGTGTTAACAGTAAGTTAACAGTTAACAGTTATAACAGTTAACGGTTAGTTAACATTTGCAACAGTTAATATTTATAAAAGTTAACAATTGCAACTGTTAGTAAACTATTAGTTAACATATATAACAGTTAACTTTTGTAACTGTTAGTAAATCGTTAGTTAACAGTTAAAAAAGTTGTTATAACAGTTAACGGTTAGTTCACAATTGCAGCCGTTAGTTAAAAGTTTTAAAAGTTAGTTAACATAACAATTAACAGTTACAACTGTTAGTAAACTGTTAACAATTAAAACAGTTAGTTAACAGTTATAACAGTTAGTTAACAGTTATAATAGATTGCAAAACAGCTAACTGTTGTAACAACTAACAGGCATAACAGTTTTTGACAGTTAGTAATTGTAACAGTATTAACAGTAGGTTAAAACTTGTCAGTTATAAAAGTTAACAGTTGTAACAGTTAACAGTTATATGCATTAGTTAATAATTAGTTAACTTTCATAACGTTGAGTTAACATTGTAACAATTAACATGCATAACAATTAGTTAACAGTTAGTTAACAGTATAACTGTTAGTAAACTATAAGTTAACAGATAAAACTGTTGTTATAACAGTTAGTTAACATTTATAACATTTAATAGTTACAACTAATAGTTTACTATTAGTTAACAGTTACAACAGTTAATGGTTAGTTTACTGTTGCAAGTGTTAATTTTTATAACTGTTAACAGTTAACTAACAGTTAAAATCATTAACAGTTGGAACTGTTAGTTAACAGTTAAAGTAGTTAGCTAACAGTTATAACAGTTAGTTAACAGTTGTAACCGTTTAACAGATATAACAGTTAACAGTGGCAACTGTTAGTTAACTGCTAGTTAACATTATAAAGGTTAGTTATCAGTTAGTTAACAGTTATAATTGTTTTTATTAGTTAACAAAATGTCCATCTGATTTCTGATGGGCTCATCATCATGTCACTAACGTTATAAAACCGTTTCCTTACTCTCCTAATAACGTTTTACAAATGTCTATTTTCCGTCTCCTTAACACTTGTTACCAGAAGGAGGAACGGCAGCACACAGCAGCCCTTCATGCAGAATATCAGATTTAAAAGTAAGCCTCAGTCAAGCAGTCTGTGTGAATTGTAGAAGCAGCATCAAAGAACTTTTTGACCCGGGAGCAGCAGAAGGTTCTGATGATATTGCAGGTTCTGTTTGATGATTCTTCTAGTTTTATGGAGGAGCTAGGACAAGTTAGAAAGAGAAAACTCTGAGCTCAGATACAGTGGATGTCATTGAGACTTGGGATGTGTGACCTCTGAGAGGAAAGATCAGTCCTGCTGCAGAGACACACTGGAGGGACGGAGACCAAAATTTCTACGACTGGATGGAGAAACTGGAGAAGAAGAAGAAACCAGAAGTCCGAAGAAGAGTTTCTATATTAAGTCGTTCAAACATTCAGACACAAACACTCAGCGCTGCACTGACAGGAATTAAAGCCTCATTTCTCTGAACACTTAAATCTAAAAGCTGCAGGATGGCTGAAGTCTGTCTCAGACTGTCTCCGTCTCTAAGCAGGTTTTGACTGTTGCAGATCGTCTCCAGCAGCTCATTAATGCTCCTCTGCTCTGTAAGAAGAACTCTTTCATCTTTTACAGTTCCTGCAGGAACTCCCTCACGTCTGTAAAGCTGGACATGGAGTTCCACGACTCTCTGAGGCGGACAAAGACAACCCAACGTCCATCAGAGACGATGGATCAGATCATTGATCAGATGGATAAATCCAGGTTCTGACTCCTGGCTCTAAACTGAACATCATGCCAGCTGGCTGAAGGGTTCAAGTGGATCCAACAGTCCCTCAAAAAGGTCCGGCTTTTACAAGAGGCCGTTGGTACCAGCACAGAACACTTGATGAAGATGTTCAGAACTGAATGAGGAAGGAACAGAGACCTGGACCTGGACTTCAGGACAGCAGAGACTTGGACCTGAACTCCAGGACAGCAGAAACCTGGAGCTGGACCTGGAGCAGGACGTTGGTTTCTGGTAAAATAGTTCAGGTTTCATCAGAATGAGCTCCTCTGTCTGTAAATCTTTGATTCTTTATCATTTCTTTGTGCTGAAGCTCTCAGTGTGACGGCACTAAAAGTCTGCTTTTAACCCCCCCCCCCCATCAGCCCCCACTCCATCATGTGGGTGCAACATCACAATCTCTCATAGCTTCATGGCAGGCGTCCAACGAGCCAATATCACAGTTCTGGGCGAGCAAAACCGCTCCACCACAGAAACTGGATCCGTCTGACTGCGGGGGTGGGGTGGGGGTGGGGGGGTCGAAAACCATCAAATGAAGGAGGGGGAGGGGTGTTTACAGACAAGGAGTGAGAGGACAGGAGGTGAAGTACTGCAGCTGTAGGAGAACTGATGGAGACAGAACAGAACCCTGGATCCTCTTTGTTGGTGCCCAGGTTTGTTCCTGGGGGAGGTCGGGGTCTCGGGTGTTCTCAGGGGGGTCTAGTGTCTTCCACTCTTCCAGTCTGAGGTGATCCAGGGACGGTTCAAAGTTTCTGAGGTGGTCCTGAGTGTTCCTGGGTCTTCAGGGTTCTGATCAGTGTCTCGGTTCTGTTAGATCTCGGTGTTCACCAAATGGATCCAAACAGAACCATGATGGCTGCTGACTGGACTTTGTGTGGTTTCTGACACCAGAACCAGTGGAGCCGTCTAACTGTAACCTCACGGTCCTGCAGAGTCCGGCTCCTCTGCTAATGTGGGCTTTTAGCAGCGGCTGCTTACCAGAACCGCTGAGAGGCCCGCAGAGGTCCGATTGGTTACCAGAACCGTTGAGAGGCCCGCTGAGGTCCGATCAGTTACCAGAACCGCTAAGAGGCCCGCTGAGGTCCGATCGGTTACCAGAACCACTGAGAGGCCCACTGAGAGGCCCGTTAAGGTCCGATCGGTTACCAGAACCACTGAGAGGCCCGCTGAGAGGCCCGCTGAGAGGCCCGTTGAGGTCCGATCGGTTACCAGAACCTCAGAAGGTTTCTTGCGATGTTCAACTCAGGGAGATGAATCTCTTCTCACTCGTCAGTGGATCTGAATTGGTTTCTGCAGCTGTGGTGCAGTGGTGCAACAGCTGACCTGGGACCAGAGAGTCACAGGTTCGATTCCTCACCATGCCATGTATCATGGTGTCCTTGAGTAAGACACCTGCCGACACAGCTGCTCCACCTGGGCATACCTCAGGTGTGATGTTCAGCTTCAGAAGACATGGAATCATGACCACACTTCAGGTTCTGTTGGTTCTGACGTCTGTGCTGGCCTCGAAGGTCCAAGTCCTGAAAATCAAAACCGCCCGTCTGCAGGTCTCCAATCAGGGCTAACCTCAGAACCACTGACCTCTTTCTGAGTCTCTGTTCCTGTTTTTCTGCCTCCAGATACAGATTACATCAGTGAAGAGGAGAAGCAGAAGGTGGAGGAGATGCTGGCGTTCCTCACCGAGGAGTCCAAACAGGCTGCAGCCTCCACCGCTGTGAGTACTGGGTCCAGGTCCAGGGTTCACATTTTACATTCAGGGTCCAGGTCCAGGGTTCACGCTTCATATTCAGGGTCCAGGTCCAGGGTTCACACTTAACATTCAGGGTCCAGGTCCAGGGTTCATGCTCCACATTCAGGGTTCAGGTCCAGGGTTCATGCTCCACATTCAGGCTCCAGGTCCAGATTCAGGTCCAGGGTTCACGCTTCACATTCAGGGTCCAGGTCTAGATTCTGGTCCAAGGTTCATGCTCCACATTCAGGCTC